CGTTTTTTTTTTCTCAGGGGTAGCTAGAAGAGGGACGTGTGCGCCCCTTGCACATCCTAGATATGCCAATACCTAGCATACTCTGAAAATTACCCTACGGTTCGCCACTGGTCCTTAGATAAGACACTTCATCTAATGTTTGCCTCTCTTCTTTGAAGACTATATATTGGTACCTGGTAGGAATATTCGGAATGAGTAGTGCTGAATTACACATATAGACCTAACTAGGAATACTCCATAGGGAGTGGATGAGACTGGATGTTTATTTATTTCATTGTTTAATGACCTATTTAATGAGGTTAAACCGTCCATTCATTCATGATCATTTGAGCTTCTCAACAGGTAACAATACAAATTATAGAAAACTTCTTAACTACAAATCTGAATCAGAATGTAATAAAATACAACATAAAATACGTCAAACATTAGTAAAATTAATATATCATAAAATATAATATGTAAACTATTTTGCAAAAGACAATAAAAATATTAGATGATGTTGATGTTGTGAATGAATGATTCTGTATTGAGCAGTTTTCAGAAATGGATATGTGCGCTATATAAATCATATAAAATAACTAGAGAACACTTTAAGAGTGTATACCTCCGCCCACGTCATCATGATGATGAAGATTATGACGATGACGATAATTACGAATTAATACCCAAATATGTATAAGCCGCCAATTTCAAATTGAATGATCAAAGGCGCAAGCGTTATTACATCTGGTCACTGGATAACATACAATGGCAAACCAGCACAAACTACAACAATCGCTGCTCCTTGGGAAGTATCCCTAGTCGTTTGCTATTTCTTCAGCTCACAACACTAGTACATTCAATACCACAACGTCCTACCAGGTATACTCATGGGTACAGAGAGACAAACGTTGATAAAGTGTCCCAAGGACACAAGAGACCCACAGTGAGAGTTTCGAACCCTGACCTCAAGGTTAAGAGTCCAAGCCACAATCGATGCTCCAACCACTTCCGCATTCTCCTCTATATAAATTGTCCACACATATTGTCCCCCACCCCCCGCCAAAAAATGTATTTAGTGCAGTGCTGATGCCTAAAATGGTTTGACTGGTAATACACTGCTAGACAGAATGCATAAAATCAACAACACATAAAATGAATAACGAATTTAACAAACTGTAAGAGATTTTAATTTAAAACTATAATCCTAGAGAATTAATTGTTCGACTTATTAGACAATTTGTAAATAAGAAAAACAATGAAAAAAAGACTACACAACCTTTGACCGACAATAATTATTTTAAAATTCTTTTTATCAGGCATTCTTCTAATGTTACTATCGACAAAGTAAAACATCTAACTAATAAGTATTGCAATGGAATCAAAATGAATCTATTTTTGAAACGGAGAAAGCACAATATTTTAACAACAAAGATAAAATACTAAGTGTCCTAAAATATAATGTGATAGAGAAATTCAGTTGTGGGGGATGTAATGCCTGCTACATTGGTGAAACTTCTCGCCATTTATCTATTAGAATAAATGAACACATGGCAATTGACAAAAAATCACACATACAAACATCTAAAGTAGAGCCAACCATGCAAATCCAATAGCAACGTAAATAATTTAAATATAATAGATCAGGCCAACACCAGTTATCAACTCGAAATTAAACATTACATTACAACATAACACTCAGTATATAATTAGCACACGCTATCACACCTTAACACATTTTGTATTACAAATAATGCATGTACATCAGCCAGAATACTTGATACAACATGATACGGATATTTGTCACAACATTAACTGATTATCAACAAAAACTTACCTGAAATCCCAATGGAAAATGTACCAAGTAATTGCACCAACTATGATGAAGAGGAGAACTATGCAGGATGGAATGACAACTGTGATAATAGTAGACAAGCAATGTAATGAATCTGCATCAAACTCCAGAAGATGTATGGTGATGTTAGCGTTTCCTCTGCATTTTAGTGCATCCAAATTCGGTATGGTAACATTTGTATTATTTACCCAGTGTCGAAACCAAACCAAATCACAATTACATAAAAAAGGATTTGATTGGACGTCTAGCTTCTTCAGATTCTTCAATTTCTGCAAGCCTACACTGTCATTAATTGCAGTCAACATGTTGTCAGCCATGATTATGTTTTCTAATAACCCAGATCCATGAAAAGCCTTTCCTGGAAGTCTTGTGATTAGGTTTCCTTGTAGATTGAGGGAATATAAGTTTTCAAGTCCATGGAACAATTTTGAAGGTAAATATGTGATCTTATTGGCAGATAAGTCAATGAATCTGAGACTTACGCATTTCACAAAACTCTGTTCTTGGATTATGATGATGGATGAATTTGAAAGTGAAAGATACTTCAGCTTTACCAAGCTCGTAAACCACAGTTTTCTAACCTCACTAAGTAGGTTGTTGTTAAGGAGTAATACTTCCAGTGCTTTCAAACCTTTAAATTCATTTCTGTTTTTAAAATAAAAACTATCAAAATTGTTATCGGCTAAATTCAGGTATTTTAAATTTGGTGAGAAATGTTTTAAAGATATTGTCCAAAGACTGGATAAGTAATTTTTAGATACGTCAATGCTCTCAATAGTAGTTGGTAATTGCTTGCCAAAATACAAATTGTCAAATCCATTTTTTTTTAAATTGATTATTTTAAGTTTATGAAATTTATACCAAGAAGTATGCGTCTGGAGTTCTGCGCCAAGATTATTATCAAAAAAATCAATATGCCGTAAATTTTCACAGCCATTCAAATCATCTCCATTTACAATGCTTATCTCACAATTCTGAAAACTAAGAAACTCTACAGATGGCAGGAACTGGCACCATCTACCTTTGAGTGTTTTAAATTGATTTCCATCCAATTTTAATTGCTGAAGGTTATCTAAACCTTTGAAAGCATCTCTGTCAATACTGTCAGATATCAGACGATTGTATGAGAGATCAAGAATTTTCAGATTTGGTGTTGTTGTAAAAGAATTACTAGGTAATTCAATGATACTGTTGCTCTGCAGAAAATAAACCTCAGTATCAGTTGGTAACTGATAAGAATCTGGAATCTCTGTCAAGTTGCGTCGTGAACAGTCCACCTGATGACGGTATCTAATATCTGTTCCGATGTAGGATACTAGGCAGTATGAGCATGAACATTCCAGCGGGCATCGAAGAATCACTGGCGATAATGTTGTGTTTACCAAAAATGGATTATGCTGGTTGCAGAATGGATGTACATATTTATTCATAAACAACAGAACAATGATTAATATTACTAGCTCCATACTAAAAATCAGTTTCAATGTTGTTAATGTATCTCTGTCTATTTCCAATTGGTGTTTAACTTTTCTTCAAAGTTGCAAACCTAACACATGTTGATACAAAACTCTTTAAGTGTTTCCTTGTTCAATGAAAACATAATGAATATGAAAGCTCTGCTTATATGAAACAAATGCTTTTTATATATGTTACTTCCTCAAATAGCAATTGGATATTATTTTGTCATGTCATTAATTTATAGAAACAGAAATTAACTAGAATGATGTTAATCGCTTCTTTTAGTGGAAATTACTTTATTTGTTTTATATACATACGATTATTATCTTAAATTATATTGTAATTCTTAATGAAATTAAACTAACTTGAAGTAAAGGTGGCGGTAGTGGTCATAATGGTAATAATAATAATAATAATAATAATAATAATAATAATTAATATTATTATTATTATTATTATTATTATTATTATAATATCATGTATTATTGTAATTTATCATCGCCAAACAGCGCAATGGAAGACTTACCAGATAGTTATTTGGTTGACTTTTTTAGGACTCATGGCTCTGCCAGTTTGTTTGCTGTCTCCATCCAAGTACATTCGAATTTAACAATACAGCATCATCTTTAACTTCCATATAAAAAGTTAGATTCTCGAGCATGTCAAGAATTGTTTCAAGAAAATTTGATATTTTTTCTAAAATTATTAAAGAAAATATATATTTCTATTAGTCGCCCCGTGTGTATGAGTAAAGGGAATTTTTCGGATTGGGAAGCTATGAGAAAAATAGTTTTGTGTAGGCGGGCTATCAGATGTTGGTTGATAGGACTTGAAGGTTCTTTGTTGGGAGGTACGCAGTAGAGGTATCTGTGGTTTAATTGATGGGCTAAAATGACCTCTCACTGAGTGGCCAAGCTTTGTATTTTCGTTTGTAAGAATTATTAGCTGGGTAAACTGTTTACAAAAGTGTTTCATTCTCTTCTATGCTCCATCCTAGCGATAACTGTATTTGATTTTGCTCCCGACTTGTTTGTTTTTTTCTACGACTGTCGACTTGGCTTCATTCACTTGGGCATTCACTGCATTACATACCGTACCGTTCCTTAATCGTCATTACGTAGATCACGCTCATTTGGTGGTACGATTAATATTGGACTAACATACACGTAAAAGTATTAATTTTCTATTCATACACACAACATGCCAGTTTGGCCAATTTCACGCTCCAATTTTTAAGCGATTTCAGCCTAAGTGTTCTTATGGGGTAGACTCATGCTGCACGAATATCCATCAATGTTATATACTTGGCCGGAGCTGACTCCCGACGCGATCATTATACAACTGAGAGAAAATGACTTACACCCGTGATAGCGGATCGTCTGTATCCACACTAATAAATTACCTTTTGTTGGGGAAAGTGATCGTCTGTATCCACACTAATAAATTACCTTTTGTTGGGGAAAGTATGTAAAATTGTAGTGTTATGCCAACTCCTCCACCGCACACCAAACACGGTTGGACACCATTTAATAACAGAATAGTTGAACTTAACTTCCAGTTGGAAGAACATTTATCTGAGAAAAACAATGTGCACTTTTGGAAGCATAGAGGGTTCTGGAGCGATTTCTTGCATCTCAACAACGATGTTGTGCATCTAACCTAACACAGTAATTTAAATCCAAGTCACCCGTCAGGAATGTATAAATGGGGGCAACCCATCCCACGAGGATGGTTTTTGGCGTGGACATCCAGACTCAAGTGTTAATTTTACCACTATGGAGACAATAATGATTATTACTTTCAATATTGTATAATTAATTTGAATCATATTTATTGCATGCCGTACATTTTACAGGCTACCCATTGTACAATTTTGTGCTATATTTGTTGGCCTATGCCGATTTAAAATAGGAGTTTTTATGTTAATAATTTAATGCAACTTTCCAGGTTACGGTTAGATACGGAAAGCCGTAACTATAATTAACTGTAGTTAGTGATACAACTATTATTTTGATGTTATTAGTTTAGTCTGTATTATTATAGACCTACTATAAACTGATTGTCATAATTTCTGTCATTTAGTAAATGACATAGTCCATCCGATGGTGCTTTCTCAGTGTCGATTATTTTTGTATGTGTCTTTCCAGAACGACCAGGACACAAAAAACAATACGAGCCTTTAAATGTTTGCAGTCTTCATTCAATAGTACATTCGAATTTAAAAAATACAGCATCATCTTTAATTTTTATATAAAAAGTTTGGTTCTTATGTCAAGAATTGTTTCAAGAAAATTTTGTATTTTTTCTATAAAAATTATTATAGAAAATCTATATTCCGATTAGTCCCGTGTGCGTGACGGGGTCCACTCGCTAATCACAAGGTTCGCTATTTATAAGGTCCACTGTTCATAAGGTCCGCAGTTATAAAGACAATTGTTTATTGGTTTACTATTCATACTTTTAAAAAAAGTCCACTATTCATAAAGGGTCTTTAATTATAATAGAATAACAGGTTCGCTAGTCATAAAAAACGGTTCATTACTAGCTCATAATCAAGAAAAGTTCGTTCGTTATTTATAATAGAAAAATAGGACCGTTAGTCATACTGTTCGCTATTCATAATTTATAAAAAGAGGTTCGCTCTTCATAATAAAAAAAGAGGTTCGCTATTCATAATTAAAAAAAAAGAAGTTCGCTATTTATAATAAGAAAAAAAACAGGTTCGATATTCATAATAAAAAAAAACAGATTTGCTATTCATAATTTAAAAAAAACAGGTTCGTTATTTATAAAAAAAAAAGGTTCGCTATTCATAATTTTAAAAAAAAGGTTCGCTTGTAATAATAAATAAAAGATGTTGATATAGTCATAGAAAAAAGGTTCGCTAGTCATAATAAAAAGATGTCCGCTATTCATTAAAATAAAACGAGCCCCAACGCTAGTACAAATTTAATTGTAATACTTTTTAAAACTCATTAAATAATAGGAAGTCAACAAACGGAATTTTCTTAAATATTCGAAGCTTTTAAAATGTAAATATAACTAGAGATACTATGTTCAATAGAACATGAACCCAGTCATTTTTTTTAAAGATAACCACTGTGACCTTTATCCTCAACCTGTGAACACACCATGTTTGGTAGGAGTCTGTCTAATGCAATTGGTTCAATCGTTAGTCACTAGCAATATTTGATAATTTTCACTATCGTGACCCTTGTAACCTATAGATGAAGAGTACTTTTTCATGTCTAGAAGGTCATAAGGATCATTCCAGGTAAATTCGAGCTCAATTGGGCTATTTTGAAAATTTGACCCCGATGACCCTATATAACCACTGATGCCAGACAGGAGTATAGGAGGTGTCACTGGTTCTTAATGATCAAATTTGATTGAATTCGGTTCAATCGTTTGCCATTAGTAACATTTTGAACCTTTGACCTATGAACTTTGACATACGGGGTGAAGAGAATTTTTTCGTGTTTAGGAGGTCCTAAAGATCATTCCTGGTAAATTTAAGCTCGATTGGGCTATTTTGAAAATTTAACCCCGACGACCCCTATGTGACCCCTGATCCCAGACTGGGATGTAGGAGGTGTCACCGGTTCTTAATGACGAAATTTGATTGAAAAGGTCCAATGGTTTGCCATTCGTAGAATTTTGAAATGTTACTAGAGAGAACAAAAGAATAACCCTTTAATGACCTTTGACCGTAAATCGCTGAACACCATAAAGACCCTACCTTATGCCAATACATATGTGCCCAGGACAACTGTGCTATGTTATTTGTAACAGAAGTTTTTTACCCTAATGACCTCTATGTGACCTTTGACCCCAAGTATAATAATGAAGGTGGGGTTTAATAGCGAAAATTGAGAGGCGTTGTGAGGGTGAAAGTGACGAAATGCAGGATTATGACTAGCTTTCACTCTTATTCTAATAAGTAAGCAGTAAACCATTTTTGTTTTCAAACTATAATTAGCTTATTTTTACTATGGTAAACCTTTTTTTTATTGATATATTAACTAGAGAACCTTTTTCTATATTATGAATTACGAACCCCTTTTATTATAAATAGCGAACCATTTTTTATTATTATGAATAGCGAACCTCTTTTTTTTTTTATTATGAATAGCGAACCTCTTTTTTATATCATGAATAGCGAGCCTCTTTTTAAAAATTATGAATAGCGAAACTTATGAATAACGGTCCTTTATTTATATTATGAGTAGCGAACCCTTTTTCTTGATTATGACTAGGGAACCTTATGCCTTGTGGTCCTTTTAATAAAATTATGAATAGTGACCCTTTTCTTGATTATGACTAGCGAACCTTATGAAGAGCGGTCCTTATTTTTTTTTTTAATGAATAACGAATCCCTTCTTCATTATGAATAACGACACTCTGGTATAGGTTAAGCTAATGTTATGAATAACGAACCTTATGAATAATGAACCTTATGAATAGCGAACCATCTGACTAGCGAGCTTGACCCTGTGTGACTTCCAATCTGTACACACGTATAGCGAAAGGTCATTTTGAAATGCATAGTGTGATATTTGATTATAGAAACAGAAATTTACTAGAAGATTATTCACTTTCTTTTAATTATTAAAAGGACCACATGTGATTGTGAATTATTAACAAAAGTAATTACGAAGAATAATGTCTTACTGTAAATTGTAAGGCCACCAATTTGTGATATTATACTACGATTAATTAAATTAAGAAAACACAATGTCGCCTGGAACGTCACAATACAAGCTTATAATTCAAAGTGAAGTTCTAAATTTTGGAAATTTTATCTGAAATCTGTAAACCACAAGGTTGCTTCCCTCATTAAGATGTATCCAAGCACCATGAGTATTTGTCATAGTAGAACGTAAACAATTTTTAATTAGTCTCACTGAACAGGGGCTGATCCAGAATTTTTCCAACGGGGGAGGGGCTTGTATTCTTATTTTTTCTCTCTTTTCAATACATACTTTTTTTTATTGATATATTAACTAGG